CTCAAGTCCCACTGTTAGTTTTCTCAGCCTCCTGAGTGACTCATGGATCTCAGGGTTAAAAAACATAAAAAATTATGAATCTAAATGGCACATGGCTGAGGATTGGAACTGCTTCTCTCCTGGATTTTCTCCACCTAAATCTAAGTCCTTTAAATCTTGGTTTTGAGACAGGATGTTTGTCCAATCACAGACATGTCAAGACCTGTAGATGCAACAGGTCATGTCCAGTGAAACAGTTTCCATTTGGGTGATGAAAGACCCACTGGTGCTTCTCTCCTCCCTGGCTGCAGAACATTCTGAAAACTCTCATGGTTGAAACATTAAATATATTCCCCAGCACTTTATTTTATTTTATTCCCAAAATACTCTGCCTGAGCTGTCCAGAGTGGATGTTTGTACTTCTTTATTCCACATGCATCTCTAAGCTAATGCTTTACTTGCTACAGACACAGTTAATTCTCAGGAGATTGGTAGAAAATAAATTTCTCTGTACCCTATAAACACAGACTCCTGATGGTATGGGCAGCTCCAGGCTTGCACACAAAGTTAGTGATTACCAAGATGACAGGGCCAAGTACTCCCCACCCTGGTAACAAGACTTGCCATGAAGACTGCATATGCAGCATTGCATTATGGCTGGCACATCAGGGTCAGGTGATATCCCTGTGGTCACCCTGGTGGCTTGTTACTAAAATACTGTGGGGAAGAAATGTTGGGTAGATGAACAAATCACCCACCACAAATAATCCTCTAAAACAGGATGGAGAAGGAATTTCAAATTGGGGAGTGTTATGAACAGAATGTATTTATCTTCCCTAAATTTCCATGTGGAAGCTCTAATCCCCAATGAGTCTGCATTGCACACAGGGGATTTAAGGAGATGATGTAGGTCAAATGAGGTCACACAACAGGGGTCTTCTTGTAAAAGGAAGAGACACTAGAGCTTTCTCTCTCATCAGGAGAACAGTGGAAAGCTACATGAGGACAGGGGAAAAAAAAAAAAAAAACTGGTAGCTGCCTGCAACCCAGAAAGGCCTTTCAAGAACCAAACCTGTCAGTCTATGGATCTTGCACTTTCGGCATCTGAACTGTGAGAACATACACATCTCATTTGGGCTGGGGAGATGTAGTTCAGTGTTAAAACACTTGCCTGGCACATAGTAAGTCCTGAGCTCGATCCATACCTACAGTTTAAATCATCCAGTTTATGTACAAGTGGGCATTCAGTTGCTCATCACACACATATTGCCACAAACTAGATAAACAATAAAGAGGTTTATTTTGGCTCACAGTTGTGTTGGTGCAAGATGGAGGGGGACATGTGGCAGTGGCATCCTTGCAGTCATCCTGAGGCAGGGCAACATGTGACAAGGGACGGGGAACTGGTGTGTGTATGTGTGTCTCTAGTCACTCTCCTCCCTATAAATCCATTAGGATTCCATCATGGAGGTTCTTCCTCAATGACTTTATCTAATCCCAAATCACTTTCCAAAGGTCCCATCTCTAAGCACCATAGTCAGGCTAAGTTTCTATTATCTTAATAACTCACTATGATGATTAAATAACAACACACAAAATCATAGGGGACTATAGAACTTTGACATTTTGTTATGGAAATCTGAGCAGAAAATCACAATGGATGAGGAGTAAAATATAGTATAGGGAAGTAAGATTGGAAGTAAAACTAGGTACTTACATCAAATCTTGACAAATAACACCAGACAGAGATATCAGTGAACATTTTAATTCCAACAATATCCACTTGAAACAGTTTAATACTTGCTATCTATTTTCCTAGAAGAATGTACTCTGAATACAAAATATATCAATATACAAACAAACTCAGGGTTGGAGGCATGGCTCAAGTGATAGTCACCTGCTTGGCAAGCTTGAGATCCTGAGTCTGAACCACAGTATCAACAACAATTTTAAAAACTGTTAATATAAAAACACATTTTTCAAACAATGGAATAACTAGCTGATGCTTAAAGTGATACCGGATACTTGAACATATTCTGAAAAGTAGCATTTCTGCCATGGAAATTCAGTCTATTTCAAAAGTGAATAAATGTTACAAAATTGACCTGACATGAAGATTTTAAGAAATAGAAACTGACAACTTCACTGTTATAAAGACAAAGAACTATTCTCCACAAGCCCTAATGCAAACTCTAATGAATCACACCCTCAAATACAAATCCTCTATTCCAGAGTGTGGGAAGGACCTAATATATGGCTCTCACAAACAATATGACAAAAGTGTAGATATATGACTTGCATTATCACATGATGTCCAAGCTGATCCTAGCACACTGGACTGAAACCCTGCCCATGGGTCATGAGGAAGCAAGCAGTCCATGTACATGTATTCTGCCTACAGAGAAAGAATTGTGAGCAGCTCCCAGTCGCAACCAGTAAGAAATCAGGTCCTTGGACTATGTCCTTCTTGAGGAAATGATTTCTGGCAAAACCTGTGTGGGGTTGGAGGTCCTGCTCCTAATCTCTAGGTGGAATGCAGCCCAGCTGACACCTTGATTGCACACTTCTGAGATGAGGGAGCAATTCACCTCTAGACATTGCTGATCACTGAATAGAATGAAACTAGTACTGCTGATCACAGCTGTGTAAGCTGATTTAAGTTTAAGCTGTTAATAATAATGTGCCTGACTTGTTTAATTATATGAAACCATGTTTCCTTTAGACCCACTGACTGGTACTATATTAGCTGCAGAATTTAGGGGAAAATTATATTGTTAAAAACTTGGACCCAGGTGCACTGGCACATACATATAATCCCAGGACTTGGGAGACTGAGGTAGGTGGTGGTTTGAGGCCAACATGGGCCTGAACCTATTTCAAAAAGGATTTTTAAAAGGTATTAATACAATATAAATTTATATACACTAGTAGAAAATATGTAAGACAATACTTTCTTATATATTTCACAACATATAAAGCTGGAGTGACATTTAATCAGAAGTATCATAACATCCACGAATGGAGTACACTGTCCCCCAGTCTCCTGAGCAGCATGGAAATTAGGTTCTTAGTGTGGGTGGTGAACTTTTAAGAGGTGTGGCCTAGTGGAGGCACTTAGGTCATGGAAGTCAGTGCCCCCCAAAAGAATCAATGCTCATCTTGCAATTAGTTCACATGAGAATGGGTCATGAGAAATTCATACCAGGTATGTGGCATGGGATAGACAAACCAGGAGGCTGAAATGAAGGGACCACCTCATGTTGGAAAATCAGCCTCTAGAACTGCGGGAAAAATTATGATGGCAAATCTTGTTAACTGATTGGATTGAGAAGCAGCCAGTTTAGTAAAGTGCCCTTGTAAGTGTGTCTGTGAAAGTTAGGGTTCTGCCCACCCATGAGCTGCTGTGGTCCACCATATGTTCCATGCCATGATGCTATGCCTCACCATGGGGCCAGAAGCAACAGAGCCCAGGACTGACACAGTGAGCCAAATCATTCCTCCCTTAAGTTGTTTTCTCAGTTATTTTGTCATAGAAACTGAAAAGTGGCTAACATGAAAATAAACCTGTTTTTATAAAACCGTCTTGACAGAACATGGAGTACACAATAACCTAATCAGGGATATGTATTTTGTTCCCTTAGTTATTCTGGGCCCCATTAACAAAAATTCCTACCATAAAATACTTGTAAGCATAACCTTATATACTTGAGAGATTGCTCTATGTTCTGTAGGCTGTGTCCCTATCCCTGAACCCTGGGGTCAAGATGTCAGCAGCACCTCCCAAACTCCAGTAGTGACAACAAAAATGTCTCCAAATGCAGTCAAATGTACAGGCAGTATCATAACTCATACCTCATTACTGGTATATAATCAAGTATTTTATAATTTTCAGACTACATCTAACATCCCTATCTGAAAATCTAGATCCATATTACACAACATTGATACATTTCCCTTCACTACAAATTCTCTGATACATAAAAAAAATTGATAGTAGTGGAGTTTGAACTAAGGGTCACTCTCCCATTTTCTTGAGGCAAGTGCTCTATCACTTGAGCCACACCTCCAGCCCAAACACAAAGTTCTATAAAAAGCATCAACTCATTAAAAATACAGGTTTTCTTTACTCTCAGTGTTCAGTCAGATAGCCCTCTCAGAAATAGGCACTTTGAAAGTTATTTTGGCATTCCCCATTTTGGGGAGAGGGCATGGTATGGTAGTACTGGAGTTCAAACTCAGAACCTCAAGGTTGGTAGGTTGACCTTACCACTTGAGCCATATCCCAAACTTTTTAAAAAAATATTTTTCACATATTTTATGTTTTTCCCAGGAAGGCCTGGACCACAATCTTCTACCTATACAAATCACAGAACTAGGGGTACAGCTGGGTACAGCTGTGGTGACACCTGGCTTATTAACTGAGACTGGGTCTTGGTAACTCTTTGCCCTGGATGGCATCAAACCACAATTCTCCAACCTCCACCTCCCAAATAGCTGGTATTACAGGCAAGAGCCACTGCTCCCATGCCTCCACATTTCTTTGATTCTCTTAAAACCTGACTTGGAAATGAAGGATGACAACACAGGTTTCTGTATGAATTTTCTGATAAACATGAATAAGTCTCTCAGGACCACCACTCATATTCATAAAGCGAGTAAGCAACAGTGTTTGTGGTGCTGAAATGCTCAGAGCACACATAAAATGGCTCAACAGAGTAGGTGTTTATTTCTCTCATGCAACAAATGTTTGGTGCTGGGCCAGGGGTGGAACATCCTATGTTCTGTTCATTTGTCTTAAATTACAGTAATAGAAGACACCTATGGCTCCCATCCCAAGTCCAGGAGGACTGCAAGGTCATTGTTACAATACAGGCCTGGAAGTAATGTTCATAACTTGTGTCCATATCTCCACAGAGAGCTGTGAACTGTTGGCCACAATAAATGGAGGCAGAGAAAAGCTTGCCATATTGGACAGAAAATTAAATGACTTTTGGGGGACACATAGATAGTCTCTACACAGAATATTTTCCCAGTGCATGCATTCTCTGACGTTTCCTGAGGTTTGACTTCTGAGAAAGTTCTTTTACCTCAAAAGACTCCTCTCTTGTGAGTGGTCTGATGCCTGCTGAGGTATGATATCCGGCCAAAGGTTTTTCTACATTGGTCACACTGATAGGGCTTGTCCCCAATGTGAATTTTCTCATGCTGGGTGAGGTGTGACTTCTGGCCAAAGGTTTTTCTACATTGGTCACACTGATAGGGCTTCTTGCCAGTGTGAATTTTCTCATGCTGGGTGAGGTGTGACTTCCGGCCAAAGGTTTTTCCACATTGATTACACTGATAGGGCTTCTCCCCAGTGTGAATTCTCTCATGCTGGGTGAGGTGGAACTTCCAGCCAAAGGTTTTCCCACACTGATTACACTGATAGTGCTTTTTCCCAGTGTGAATTATCTCATGTGTCGTGAGGTTTGACTTCTGGCAAAAGGATTTTCCGCACTCACTACACTGATAGGGCTTCTCCCCAGTGTGAATCATCTCATGCTGGGTGAGTCTTGACTTCCAGCCAAAGGTCTTCCCACAATGATTACACTTATAGGGCTCCTCCCCAGTGTGAATCATCTCATGCTGGGTGAGTCTTGACTTCCAGCCAAAGGTTTTATCACACTGACTACACTTATAGGGCTTCTCCCCAGTGTGAATCATCTCATGCTGGATGAGTCTTGACTTCCAGCCAAAGGTTTTACCACACTGATTACACTTATAGGGCTTCTCCCCAGTGTTAATTATCTCATGATTGGTGAGGTGTGACTTTTGGACAAAGCATTTTCCATATTGATTATACTGATAGGGTTTCTCACCAGCATATACTCCTTCAGACATACTAGAGAGATGAGTGTTCTCACATACATTGGGCTTCACTCCTAAAGAGACTGCATTCTTTACAATCAAATTTGAAACATGGTTTGAACTCAAACAAAAGGCATGTCCAAATGTAACTCTCTCATAAATTGGTGTGTTGTTTGTAGTAATCCCATCTTGCCACAAATGTCTGTCTTGACTTTCTTCACTGACCTCAATTATGACATCCACTTTCTGGACATCTAAAATGACAAAAAAAAACTTTACACATGAAACACAACTAAGCATTTGTATGGAATGTGCATGTATATATAGAGGAGGTTCTTCTCCTACTGTCATAAGATTTCATAAAAATCACAACAGGTATTGGCTGGTAAGTAAATAGTTTTCTTCGTACTGACTTAATATATTAAATGACACTGACAGATTGTATAATGTTGAACTGTTTTTCCTTCTTTAATGTTATTTCCATGAGGAAGTATTTGGTTAAAATATTCACCTACAACCTAGTCATGGTTTTCCATGGTGTGCTTCTCCCCTCCCATTTCATTCCCCCATTCTTTTTCTCTATTGTTTTGACAATGGTGGGGTCTCCTGCTACTGCTCCTCTCATTACTCTACTTTGAAGGTTCAAGAATTTTCAGGACCAGCTTATTGCAGAATACAAGTGAGGTCCAACTGACTGCTATCTCTAAACAGGAACATGGCTTCGGACTGCTGTTTACATCTATGTCTATTTAGTTTTCATTCTTACCTGAGGAATAAATGTAGACATTTAAGGAGTTTTTCAAATATAAAATCTCTTGTTTCCCACTCTACACATAAATGGCCTCTACAAAGTCCTAATTTTACCTCAATTAGTCTGCTTCTCAGAAACAAAAGTTTTTTCTTCACCCAATCACACTAGACACCCAACTTTGAAGCCCACCATCTTTATAAAGTACTTTTCTGGCACTTTCTGAGATCAATCAGCCCCAGAATTCTCTCCCCAATTCCTGGTACAGGCACACATGTTTGATAATCAACTTCTCCTGAATGATGCTATCTTGCACACTGGACTGTCAGCATTCTCCTACTTTCATAGAAAGTATATAATGATATCCACTAAGAGAAGATGGATATGCTAACTTAAAACTGCACTGTCAAACAGAAATCTGAGCTCTTGAACATGAAATTCTTGGTTCACTTGGGCTTGGGACCAAGAACGTCCTGGCTCTTTCCCAATTGCAGATCCATATACTGGATCCTCCATTTTCATGGAGTTGACACCATTGTTCATAAGACTAACTCTGGACTTTCTTCATTTTCTTATCAACACCCTAGGTGAACTGCTCTGTAAATTTAAATACCAGCTTCAAGCTACCAGTTTCCAAATTTGTGCTTCCAAGAGTGATGTAGACTCTCAAATGTAGATCTTTGCATTCACCTACTATTTGTAAAATTTTGAGAAAAGGAACTAAAACTCAAGCTATGCCAAGGTAAACACTTAGTAACCCCACTACAAATGTAGCACAGTGGAACACTGGACAGGGAGGCAGCTGAGAACACTGAGGAAGTAGAGAGCAAAGAAAAATATCTAAGAAGAGTAGGGTTTAAATTTGAGATAAAGGTAACAATATATGTGCAAAAGCCCTCCTTAGAGATTATTATGCACAGGTTTGATGTGTGTGAGCCCACTGTCCTTGGTCTGCAATCTGGAAGATAACCTGGTGAAATCAGCGCAACATGGCCAACATCTGCTGGGCTCCACTCCCGTGGCCTCCCCACCAAGTATGCACTGACTGACCTGGTGGGCTCTGGTTTGGGAGTTCATTTCCCATCCATAGGTCTGATCCTTGTTCCAATTTGATGATCAGCTCAGGTTTGGTGATGCCTTGTCCTGTTCATAGGATCAATGTAGGATTTTGTGAAAAGATTAAGTCAGGATTTTTCCCCCACTATCCCTTTCTGCAATGATTGACATGTTCTGTACCTGTGCTGCCAGCAAGGGAGCTGGTAGCGACAGGGGTTATCAAACACTTGAAATAAGACTAGAATGACTGCAGAGCTACATTTAACTTTTTATTTAATTTCTTTGTTGTTTTTTCTTACTGATGTATTAGCATATTATAGTTATATAGCACCAGGTGCCAGTTGTATGGTGGGTACATTGTGACATTTATAAAACGCTTACAATAAATCACCCACTCCATCATTCTCCTTTATTCTTAGAATAGTTTTAATAGGTCTCATTGTTCCATTTTCATACGTGAATACATGAATACTTCTGTCATATTCTTTCACCCTTTCCTATGCCATTTACTTCCTTCTCCTTCATTTTCAAAAGGACATTTTTGTTTGTTTATGATGGTTATACAAGGAGTTTATATATGTATACATAGTATACATATATACTATGTATATGGAATTGGTTCATCTCTACCATTATAAGCCAGGTTCTTTGAAGCAAGACAAACCCCACCTTTGGAACTGTGCAATAAAGGAGCATGTGAACTGTTCATAAGAGAGGGTGAAAAATTGAGTTTTCATGGGCTGGAACTGTGCACCTAAATAGTTTTCATATATTTACTAAGAAGACGACAGCACTTGCTCCTTAGGGCTACAGGGCAGTTTCACTCACCCAAGGACATCAGGCTGCTGTAGGTCTCCAGCATCACTTCCCTGTACAGGGTCCTCTGAACATCATCCAGATCCTTCCATTCCTCCCAAGTAAAGTCCACAGCCACATCCTCAAATGACACCAACTCCAGGAATGCCATATTTCTTCTCAACTTACCAGCTCTTGAAATATGGAAGTTCTGGTTTCTATATGTGGGGATGGGAGGATGGGTGATTCTTATATGCATTTGGAAAAACATGAAGCTTGTTTTCTACTTTATATGGTAAAGGAAAGTCACAGATATGTACTGCCATTGTAAAAAATTTATTAAGTACTAAAAACACTGTAGAAGGGAGGAGGGCAAAAAATAAGACTGAAACAAGCAAGTTTTTGTTCTGATAATGTAGCGGGGGAAGGGGATGGCATAGCAGGGAGCTAAAACTTTAAAAATCTAAATGTGAAAAAGGTCACGTAGCACTGGGGGTGAAGTAGCCAATAGAGTTACATGCAACTATACATAGGTTAAACCTTGCTTTTTGCTTCCGTAACCTGCTTTCAAGGGTATATAAGGTGAGACCCCTTTGTTCTCAGGGCTCAGCCTGTGAATGTGAATCTGCTGAGTCATTGCCATCATGCCAATAAATATTGTTTCCTGAAAAGCCTTCGTGTCCTGTGTTTGAGATTCCAGTAACATTTCTGGGGGTTCCTCCAGGACTTGGAAATGGTGTTTTCATCTCATTGGTGGGACTTGACATCCCTGGCTCATTGGGAAAGCATCCCACCAAGTGCCAGCAGACTTGTTGATCTGATGGAGGGACTTGCCATTGGAAAGCAAGTCTCGGTTGTACAAAGGAATGAGGAGAAGACTCAGGAACCAATTGGGAACCCTGCCCATCAAACTGGTAAGTACCCAGGTTTGAATAATAGGCCTGCCTTTAGGAGGCAGAAGGGGAGACTGATCACCTCCCAGAGACCCCCTAGTAACACTGTCTGGGTAAAATTGGGTCTCTCAGGTTTAGGGAGTGGGGCCAAAGTGTGTGAGACACCTCCAGGAATTAGGGAGGTTGAGTACCTACTAGGTTTTTTCACCAGCAAGATAGACCAGGATGGGGAAAAACACAAGTAAAAAGAAAGCATTTTGAATAAAATGCAAAAAACCTCCAGTACTGAGGGTGGAGGGGTTCAGCTTTTCCCAGGAAACAGCCACAACCAAGGTTAAGGGATGGGTAACAAAAATTCAGTTCCAAAGAGGGAGACTCACAAGAGAACAGATGCATTATCCACCATTCCACTGGATAGCTCTCTGGCTATAATTTAAAAGTTTTTTGTTTTTTTTTTTTTGAGAGTACACTCTAATTTTGTGTGTGTCGATTTGTTTAAAGCATTGGGCAAGATTTAATTTGCTCCTGGAATTCCAGCTCATCTTATGCATGCTCAAGGTGACACTTTTGTTCTAGCATGCTTAATTTATAAAACATGTGTGTGCGTATGTGTAACCATATTCAAAATGGCTCTTTAACTGCTGTTATAAGGTTAATGTGCTATTCAAGGTAACAAAAAATCAGGGTGTTTGTTTTAAAGATCTCTGTTATAAAGTGCTTAAGCTTTTTACATATGAGTATGTAAACATCTTGAGGATGGTTCTTATTATAGAGTTGATGAAAAAATTGTGACTCTGTTCTACTGCTACTTTTAAGACAATGAGTGTTCAAACTTATTTCAATCAGGTCTCACTAGGATGCAGGCATTCAGGGTTTAATATTGTGGCTCAGACCAGAGGAGAGAAAAAAAAGAAAGAAAGAAAGAAAAAGGGGCCACAGCCTGCAGCAGGAATCTTAAAATTTGGGTAGTTAAAAATGACCATAGCTTATTTCATTCTATCATAAATAAAATCTGGGATTTAATTCTCTCTTATAATACATGGGCCAATTAACAAATGGGGTTTCTATAGTTTTTATACAAAAAATAATTTTAAGTTTGCTTTCTTTCTGGTTTCTTTTCGTGCAAATATAACGCTCTAAGTTAAAAGGGCTTATGAGTTATTTTTAACAAGTAACAAATATATATGTATATTTGTAACAAATTATATTTATAGTATTAAGGATATGGTTTTTAAAAATGATAGGTTAAATAAAAAGGATAAAGACAAGCTCCCCCAGAAGTACAAAGTAAGTTGTCATAAAGGTACAGAGAAAGTTGTCATAAAAAGATGGAGCTTATATATACTTATATAAGTAACTGAGTTGACTAAAATCCAGTTACATTAAAGGTTTTATAAGGTCAACATTTAATGTACTGATGTTAAACTAAAACTTAATTCTCTAAGCTCATAACAACAAGGCTATCTTAAAAAGATTATATTGTTCTTGATAACATTAACAAAAAAACTGTCTTAAAAATAGCTTTTGTTTTGTCAAGATAACCATAAGGAATTTTTCATGCTACAGGTCAATCCACAAATTTATGAAGACAACAAGAGTTTATTAAAACACAGAAAGACAACAGGCAGCTGAGCATGGGAAGTGCTGCTGCACTGATAAGAGGGTTGAGACAAATTTACTTATGTAAAGCAGAGTTAAAAAAAAAAAGCCAAAGTACATCCTCCAGATAGGATAAAGAAAAAAAAAAACTGAAAAAGGAGCATTATACTGGAGGTCAAGACCTCCAGTGGAGATGTTAGTCTTACTCCTTCCACATGTCAGACAGAAGGAATTTTTGGCCCAGGATAGCCAGATTGGGCCTGTTATTTTACAGGGACTCCATACAGGTTGGTGGGATCCTACTGTATGTCATGAGCCATCTGTTAATGTCAACAATCTGGGATGTGATCCTTTATCAACATCTGAGCCATGATTTTTGGCCATTAGGTTTCCTAACTCCACACTTAATCCCCATAAATACTTACCTGTGTTCTCTGGTGATTTTTGTCAGGGTTTTGACTACTAAGGTAACTGAGTCATAACTAAATAAAAACTCATTTAAGAGCTGGCTTACGTAAAATTTTCTAGATGACCTCATGATTAAACAACTATTGTCTTGGGTGACTGCAATGCATTCAGTACTCTGTATTTCTGTGACTGGGATATTTGGGGTCACTGACACTGTCCCCCCCAAAACTGATGTGAAAATCTAAGGTTTTACTTCAAGAGCAACAACTAAACTAGTATGTATATATAACCTCTATAGAGCTGTGATGCTGTTGTTGGTTCCTGCATACTAGATATATTTACGTTTTTCAAGTATATCAAGCCTTCTAAATTACAAAATTTAGATAAACACAGTAACAAAAAGTTAATGGTACTGATATAGTGTTGTTAGCTGCTAAATTGTCCATCAGAATCTTAACCACAGCTCTTTTAAGTTTTTGTCATTACAATTCTGATCCTTCTGGGGCATTTACAATCAAGTCCATAAAAATGAATCTAATAAGTACTTATGTGTCAACCAGATTAGCTTTTTAGATGTCTGCTTTTGGATTTTGTTTTGTATTGTCCTTGTCTAGAAGCCCACTGCCTAAGAGCCTGTTTGTTGTTTAAATTTGGCCAAAAGGGCACTGACTCCCACCTGACCTAACCATTACTTCCCACCCAATGTGGGACCAAAATCAAACAAACAAACACAATCCAGGAAAGAGCAAATCCTCACAATGAGGGAAGAAAATGACCAATTGAGAAAGATCTTCAGTCTACGGCCATACCATCCAGAACGTGCCCAATCTCATCTGGTCTTGGAAGCTAAGCATGGTCAGGCCTGGTTAGTACTTGGATGGGAGAAAGATCTTCAGAGGAGACTGCTCAGAGACAAGCACTTTGGAGACAAGGGGGAATGCCATCAAAGTTCAAATGGAGTCACTCATGCCAGACCTCTCAAAAATAACCAAGACTGAGAGGATTGAGGAAATGGTTTTTATATATGTGTGGCTATCTGACATTAAAGCCCTTCCAAACACAAACTCATATTTTTTAGACATGGTCTTCTCCTTAAATAGAGACAAAATGACTATTTTTACTGGCACTAAACATGTCCTTTGATACTTAAAGATGGTGGCTTTAATGTTTTTAAACAATGTGTTTTCTTGGACATATATACTGATAATATATTGTTGCCATGGTAATTCTGCTCTCTCTCTCTCTCTCTCTCTCTCTCTCTCTCTCTCTCTCTCTCTCATATATATATATGAGAAACCAAAAGATACTGTCTGGGTGAAAGAATAAAATGTCCAACTGGAGGTGCCTTTTTGTTATCTTGTCCATCCCCACTGCAGTTAAAGCAGCAAAACTTGTTCCCTGGATCCACCACAGCTGAGTAAAGCCAGCCTCTCCTGAGTGGGAGTGCATCCCTGACCCAGCCTTACCATACAAGATCACCCTCTGGAATGCCTGTGCCCTTCCTTGGAAGGACCTTGCTCCCCAGGAGACAACAGGGGACCACTAACAACAGGACAACAGCCCTGCTATACTCACTCCAGAAGCTGACTAGTCTATGCACAGCAGAAGCTCAAACACAGGATGTACCCCTGCTCTCCTCTACACTCTTGGACTCTTATGTTTTGAGTTGGTCCTTACAAGTTTTCCCCCATGTGCTGAATGTTGGGACCTCCACACAGCCATACTTTGTATCAAATACCTGCCAACAAGTTGGATGTTACATCGGTTCATATACTTCCAGGTTTGCAAGTTTGCCAAAAAGCAATACTGAAAGTCCCAGAGTAAAGAAAACAATGCAGGCTACATTTGTCATGGAAAGCAGGGCAATGGGTTTTGTCTTGGGAGAATGTTTGATATTACCCTACCTGGTTCTCTTGGTATTGCAATCCATCAGCACCATTATAGAGGCCACTATACAGAGAAAAACAGCTGCCCATGTAATGATATTATGAAAATACAAACCCTTAAATCAAGATGATGCTGTTCAATCTTAGGTGGGTCCAAGCATCAAAGGAGGGAATAATTCAGCAGGGAGGAGGGCAAAAAAAAAAAAGAGAAATAAGCAAGGCTGTGTTCTGATAATGTAGCAGGGGGAGGGGATGGCATAGCAGGGAGATAAAACTTAAAAAATCTAAACATGAAGAAGATCACATAGCACTGGGGGATGAAGTAGCCAACAGAGTTACATGCAACTATATATGAGTTAAACCTTGCTTTTTTGCTTCTGTAACCTGCTTGCAAGGGTATATAAAATGAGATCCCTTTGTTCTTGGGGCTCA